GGTGCCCTCCAGAGCCGCGCGCCCTAAGGTGGCCGGCCAAACCCTGCCCCCACCCCTACCCTCACCCCACGCCCGTCGCCCGGGTTGGGTTGCAAAGTGCAGCCCAGAGCGAGGGCCGAGGGTCTGGGTTTCAGGTCCGACCTCAGAAGGGTTAAGTGCCTCCTCCCTCTAGAAGGGGAAGTGGGGCTAGGAGCCGAGAGGAGGGACACCCCCTAGCGCAGCCGGCCCTAGAGGAGCGAGGGGAATGAATGGGAGCCCGAGTCGGCGGGGCTGGGCGGCGAGGCAGTTTTGCAACACGAAGCAGGAGTCAGTCTGGAAAAACTATTAGCCTGGCGAGGGGAGGACTGGCAGAGCCCGCCTTTCTCCCAGAGCCCCACGCAGTCACCCTCACGCTCAGGCTGAGTAAGAGACAGCCAAGATGCTGGGCTTGGAGAATGCAAAGAGATTTTTATCATTTGGGTGGGGTAGTGGTTTTTATTTTCTAAGTTGTGTGTGTGTGTGTGTGTTCTGAAAGTTTGAAATATGCTGACTTAGGTAAAAGGCCCTTGAAAATCTGGAGATGAGATAACTGAGGGTGATGGGTTAAAGGGTGCCTGTGCGAGCCTGGGTTCCTCAAGTTTCCAGTGTGTGGTCCAGGGAGGATTGCTCTAGGAGGCTGTCGGTCATGGACACTTCATGCTTGTTTTTCTTCACACTGGTGTGTGCATGCAAGTGTCTCTGTATCTCTGCTTTAGTAATAAGATGCTCCACTCTAGAAAACTCCTCTCATTAGGACACCTGCCACTTACCCAGAAGGAGCCCCTCTGATCCGGAAGAGTGGTAACATGGCTCCGGGGTCTTGATGTGGACACTCTAAGGAGAAGTGAAGCAATTTCTTCTCCACGATGCTCAGGCCTCTGACACAGGCCCAGAGCAGAGGGAGGAAGCTGTGGTCTCTACCCAAGATGTGCTAATCTCCTTAGATACACACACAGGGATTGGCATGGCAGGCAGAGAACAGGCGTAGGCCAAGGCCCTGGCACTGCATGCCGAGGATGGGAGTGAAAGTCTTCTTTTCCATGTGGGGCATGAGAGCCTGAGAGTCCCTCAAACCCTCCACGGGAGCACCCTGGTCTCTCATCTAGGAGACCTGGCTGTGCTCACCCACCCACAGAGCTGTGGCTTTTCAAGGTATTTTCAGTCCCCAATGTTCAGAAGGATTGAGTTGTTAAGTGTATACTTTGGCATTTAAATTGTGTGAAAGCCACATTTGTTTGTTCACATGTGATCTTTGGATTTGGGGGTTCCTGGACCCCACTCCCACAATGGTTCGAACACTGTTCTTGGAGAGTGGGCAAGAAGAGGTCAGCTAACTTCTGGTCTGTTTGTGAGAGTGCACAGTTCATTAAATCTGTCTGAGCTTCAAAATCTTTGCAAAAATGTAACAGTGGGACTAAATTATCTCTACAATAGGATCTTTCCGAATCCCCTCTATTCCTAAAATATTACGGGCATATGCTCTTACAAGAACACATCCTGGATGTCTGTGAAATCCAGTTCTATGCTGACAGAGGTCTGAGAGACCTATATATAGGGAGAGACCTATGTATCATGTCTAATCTGCAGACACAAATCCAGAAAGGGTGTTCCCTGTATGAATGGCCTTGAAAAACCATCTTTGAGTAATTTTGGGATGTGATTTTTACGCACCTGCGTATTTTTTTCCTCATATATAAGGCATGGCTCTCTTTCAAAATGCCTGTCAGCCTCAGCACTGAGGAGGCATTTGGGCCAGGATGCCAGAGAAGTCTGATTTCTTTGCAGAAGCCCTTTATTTTGTGCATAATTCCATCTGACTCCAAAATCTCAATCTTGCTGCCCTTATTACAATAAGCCTTCTGTATTATGTTTTCTTCTCATTTCCGAGAATGTCTCCTGGGAAGGCTGTGAGCATCATGTTGGGTACACCAACGTTTTCAGGGACCATTCTGCTCTTTCTGCCACAGACAGTTAACCTGCAGTATTAAACAACACCCTACCCCGCCCCTGCTCCCCACAGTGATATTATCAGTGTTGAAAAGCACATGATAGTGTTTGCTGCTCTAAGAAATGACCTGGTTTCAAAAACTACATCTTAGTTCTAAGTAGCCTTCAATCAACTCTTATTATTTTATCTGTAGAAAGCTTGATTCAATGCCCATGATGCCATCAACTATGGCAAAACAATCCAAGAAGATGCAGACGTAGTGAGTGAAACAGGGAAAGGAACAGCAGACTTGGAGTCAGGAAACGGGGTTCATTCTCAGCTCTGCTACTTAGTTGCTGATTGCCTTACAGCAAGGCACTTGTTAGGTCCTTGAGTCTCGGTTTCCTCATCTATGAAATGGGGCCAAAGTAGCTCCCTGATATAAGTCACAGTAAAAATTAAAGTCTGTGCTTTAGTTGCATGCACATTGGTTGAACTTCTCCTTGGGGATAGGTCTTCTGTGGCTCAATTGGTTAAAAAATTAGATCATAGCCCGGCCAGGCTTGGCTCAGTGGTTGAGCACTGACCTGGGATCCAGGCGATCGGGGTTCAATTTCTGGTCAGGGCACATGCCCGGGTTGTGGGCTTGATCAATGACTCTCTCATCATTGATGTTTCTATCTCTCTCTCTCTCTCCCTCTCCTTTCCTTTCTCTGAAATCAATAAAGATACATTAAAAAAAAAAAAAATTAGATCATAGGCCTGGGTTTACTTAGATCATAGGCCTGGGTTTACCATAATACATGTTTCATTAACTTAACAAATATTAACCATGTGTTTCTTGTGTTCCAAGGCTTAAAACTCATGGTTTATGTGTCAAGAGTAAAACAGGGATCAAACCTTGCTGGAATTTACACTCCAGTGGAGGTGACAGACATGTAAATAAGTAATTCTATGTCCAGAGATGACGTATCGTCTGAAGAACAGTAAAGCAGGTTAGGGGATAAAACGTGATGTAGCTGTATCAGCCAGGATGCTTGGGGACGTCGCCTTGAACAAAGTCCAGTTAAGGACAGCTATTCAGTTTTCCCCTTACTTCAGGGACATCCAGCACCATGCAGCCAGCAAATGATGGGAGAGCAAGACAGAAAGGTTGAGGTGAGAGCTCGCTCTGCAAAGCAGCAGAGTGTCTGCCCCAGACAGGCCCAGGAGGGTAGGTTGTCGCTGATGGGCAGTGCCTGTCCAGCAGGGAGAGCAGCAGAGGGAGGACCGCTTGGGAACAGAGACTTTACTCATGTCCCCAAAGAGACATTGCCTTCACTTTGAAGAGTGTACACTCACACACATCTTTTGACCTTCGTGTCACCTAGATTCATTGGGTCTGTCCTTGTGACCACACAGAATGGCTTCTCTCAGGGAATTACCAAATGGTGACCTGGTGATGTTTTGGTTTATGTTTGTGAATAATTTCTACCTAAAAGATTCCTTCTGCTTCTGCTACTATTCAAATTTAAGCTTACAGGTTTGCAAATTTAGAGATTATTTAGCTCGATACTCTCATGTTATGGGTGGGAAAACTAAGGCCTAGTGTTGTTCAGTGACTTAGTCAAGGTCACGCAGATAACTGAGTCAGTGAGAATTCAGGGCTCCTAACTTTCAGACTAGTGTTCTTTCCACTTATACCATAAAGATTTCATTCACTTTCATTATATTATTATGAATGATAGAATCCTGGATGCAGTGTCAGTGTGTGCATGCGTGCGTGTGTGTGTGTGTGTGTGCATGTAAGAGAGAGACAGAGAGGCAGAGAGAGAAGGCTTTAAAAATGATGAAGAATTTGATACTTTGCAATAAAGACACTTTTATTATTTAATGAAAAATGT